TCTCATATACGTGAATCGAATGATTTATTAGCTAATTTGTTCGAGCATTATTCTTCGCGTTGTAAAATTGTTCGTATTCTGGCTTACTGCCAAAGATTTATTACTAATTGCAAGAAGCATCATGTTACTCAGAACATTTCACGTAGTGGCATTAACTCCAGCTGCCTTATGCCGCTAACATTTCTAGAGATTCGAGTAGCAGAAAATTTCATTATTCGTTGGATTCAGAATCATTATTTCAAAGATGATTTACAATGTATTAAGGAAGAGAAACCTTTACCCAAGAAGAGCCAACTACGTTCTCTATATCCATTCGTAGATAAAGATGGTCTCTTACGGGTGGGAGGACGTCTTCGAAATTCATCTTTAGCATTTAACATCAAACATCCTGTCATACTTCCTTCTCGACATAAATTTAGCGAATTACTAGTGAAAGAACTTCATATTACTTACCTTCATGCTGGTCCTTCTTTATTATCACACCTCATCAGGCAATCTTACTGGATAATTGGAGGGAAAGAGACTGATACGCAGTTGTGTCAACCATTGCTTAATATGTCATCGATTTAAAGCTGCTTCAAATCCGCAATTGATGGGTGACTTACCTGAACATCGTGTGTGACTTTGGAACGACCTTTTTACGCATCTGGTGTGGATTACGCTGGTCCTATTACCATGAAATTTAATAAGGGTCGTGGCTCTAAAACAACGAAAGGCTATATAGCTCTGTTTGTTTGCTTGTCGACTAAAGCTGTGCATATAGAAGCAGTCAGTGACCTGACGGCAGACTCGTTTATCGCTGCACTTAGACGTTTCATTTCACGTCGCGGTGCACCACGGCACATTTACAGTGACAACGGTACCAATTTTGTGGGAGCATGCCGAAAACTACAAGAACTAAATCATATTTGGTTTTCTTGTATTCCTTGTATGCAACAGAATCGGTTTCCGAGAACTAACTAAGTCATCTATTGAATGGCATTTTATACCGCCTGCTTCGCCCCACTTCGGAGGAGGAATATGGGAAGCCGGCATTCGCTCAGCGAAATTTCATCTGAGAAGAGTATTGAAAGAGACTCTTTTAACCTACGAAGAGTTGTCAACGCTACTTACCCAGATCGAGGCTATTTTGAATTCACGTCCACTTACTTACGTGAACGATACTGATATTGACTCTATTAATGTTTTAACCCCTTCTCATTTTATTACAGGTGATACTTTGACTTCCTTTCCAGAGACACATCAGTCTGTTCGCACAAGGAGTTCTAGGTGGGAACTTGTACAGAATCTACGTCGCGGATTTTCGAATCGCTGGAAAAAGGAATACTTGACTTCTCTTCAGCAGAGATCCAAGTGGCAGCACACTAAACCCAACTAAAAGGTCGACACGGTGGTTCTTGTCATCGAAGATATATCTCCACCTTTAGCTTGGCCTATAGGACGGATCATCGATGTCCATCCAGGCAAGGACGGCTTAGTTCGCGTACCTACATTCAAAACTAAAACTGGTGTTCTTCAAAAGACCAATTAATAAACTTTCACCTTTGCCTGTGTATCAGGACTAAACCTGATAGGGTGGGAGTATGTTCACTTCCACGCCTATCGAATTAATTTCTACCTTTTCGTTGCCCTGCGTTGGCAACACGCTTTTGAGATTTGTCGTTCGTAGGAATTCGGTCGCTAAAAGCGTAGCTGGCCTGTAACGGTTGTAATTCTTATTTTATGCTTATCTGTACTTCTGAATTATTACTAAATGTTTACGTGTGAATGTTATATTATTAAATGTATTCAGTTTTTTTAAATAGACCGAGAGTGACTGAATTTATTAAGTATATTTAAAGTCGAAACTGCGTCATCCATGTCGGCGCCATTCTAACACAGGAACGTAAACAACCAAAAATAAGATTTAACACTTCTAGCCAATTTTAGTAAAAAAATAAGCACCTTAAGCCTTTAAGCACATTTAAAAAAAAAAAGCATGTCTATTACTTATACACAATGGTAACCTAAAATTAGCTGCAATTTAAAATATGAGCAATGCAATATTTATTAAGAGAATGAGACACCTCAAACATGGAAAACAATTAACTTTTTTTTAAAAAAAAATTTAAATGACAGTTCAATTTACAGAATTAGTTTACAATGAGAGAAAAAAAACTATGCAAAACTAAACTATATTACAAGATTTAATGATGAAATTTCAGTTCAAAATATAGAAAATAAATAATAATAAGCCATATTAATTGTATTCGCTTGGCACCTAATAACAAATACAATTTATTTTCCCACTCATATTAATATTTAAATAATTTAACTTATCAAAATTCTGAACATTTTCTAAATTTTCATTGCATAACAGTTTTCCCTTAACATATATTCCAAGCAAAGTAATTTAAGTAAAAAAGAGGAACATTTCTGAAATCAGGAGACCCGCATACTCGGAAATTGGCCGAATATTCCGTATAGTCGAGCATAACTGGAAAAAGAGGAAGGGGGGGAGATTGTAGCCGTTCTGTAGATTTCTCGGCTAAATAAATGATTTTGACATTTCGATATGTGCATCACATAAAAATAGACCAACGGAACTGAGAAATATTCTGCTTAGAAAGCAAAGTAAAACTCTTTTAAATGTTCATAAATAAATCTCAGACTGAACATCAAAATTAATTGTCTCAGCAAAATACAGCAAACGCTATTGAGCAATACGTGCAACGTAATTCTTCCATACGTGATATTACGCAATCGGAATCAACAGCTGCCGGTATTCGGAGAATAAAGAACTAAATAAAGGAAAAGAAAGAGACTTACTAATCTGAGGTGTTTTTGATTCTACTTTTGAACAGACTGCATTAAATTTCTGAAATAGAATCATTCTTCGCTTGGGTTGGGTAGACCACAAAACTTTTAGTCCTATTCAATCCAGATTGGACAGTGACAAAAAAAAAAAAAAAACAAAAAAAAAAAAAAAAAAAAAAAAAAAAAAAAAATAGATATCTTGTGGAGAAAGGGTACCTCCGTACTGTATAATGTATTTGGAAATATATATATATATCAAGCAAGGTAGTAATTACAATTTTGAAAAACCAATTTGGTCTAGAAAACATCTTGCGCAATATGCTGCAAAATAAGTAAAATATATAAAAATTGTAGTAAGCTCGCCTAAAAGTTACCAGGAGCTGCTGCTCCAAAAGTTCGACATGTTTTAAAAAATTAATACATATGAAAATCAAACCATTAGTCGAGTTGGGCTAATTTACCATTTTCCGCTTACTTTTTTATCCGATTCTGTTTTTTTAATGTTTTACATGTTTAATGGTTTGATTTTCATATGTATTAATTTTTTAAAACGTGTCAAACTTTTTGGAGCAGCAGCTCCTGGTAACTTTTAGGCGAGCTTACTACAATTTATATATATATATATATTGACTATTCGATTACTTTCCTTTTATTTAAGCCATTCCGAATATTATTCCTTAGAAAGCTAATCTGTGTAAAAATACACCCATTTTTGGAAGTTTATCTACTGCAACTATATTATTATAAATATTCATACATATGCTCATAATAAACACGAATATTAACTGACCACGCGGAACGAGAATGCAAATTATTAAAATTATTGATAGAAATTCAAACGTGTGTAGTATTTGGGTGGGAGGAAAAGAATACCGAATGTACCGGATTTTTCTACGGTTTTCGGATTCTTTGACCAATAGAACGACGTGCACCTGTCTGTACTCTCGCGCGTACCGCGGGTTATGTTAATGCAGAGAAAGGGGGAAAAGCTATTTCTGGGAGTATGATTCACCATCTGACGTTCCATATAAGGAAGAAAAGTTGTTTATTTAGTTTCAGTTTTGGTATGGGGGAAAAAATGCGCGTTTATTAAAAAAGCACTAAACGCAAAAAATAAGCACTAAAAACAAAAAATAAGGGCTTTAAAGAAAAAGTAAGCACCTATAAGGGGCTTTATATTTTATTTTCAAATATAAGGACTTATAAGCACTTGTAAGAACAGCTACGAACCCTGTTTAATGTTATTTTTTAAATATAACTTCAATATATTACCATTATTTTAATGAAATTTATCAATGTTATGATGTTTAAAAAAAATAGTCGAAAAATTCTCAGATCTTGGAATTAAAAATTTTCTATAGGAATTGATCTTAAAATTGCCAAAATGTTGATAAGTCATCAAATTTAGAACCGTTTAATAAAAGAATTCAAATCCCCAAAAGCAAAAAGTTGTTTAACAGCTCTTTATAAGAAAAAATGAATTTTGAACTGCTTATGTTTCACTTCTTGCTTAGAAACTCAAGTATCCCATCATTTATATTAGAAATAGAAATAAATTATAACCCATGAACCCATTCAAAAGATAATCATATGTGCCAGCGAATCGCCAAAAATATTCCTCCAAAATGCTAATTCACACTCAAAATGGCAGTTGTAAAAACAGACAGAAATTTCAGATAATTAAAATTAAGGACCTTCTGCTGATTTTGGCCAAAATTAAGGACTTTTAAGGACCAAAAATCGATTCCAAAACATTTTAAGGGCTCTTAAGGACCATACGAACCCTGCATTACTGTTATTAAATCAAAGGTGATAATAAAAAAAAGGTTATTTTCTAGATGTGTTTAAATATTTTACTAGATTAAAATCAATCTTTTTCCTACTGAAATTAAAGCATGCACCTTATAATGAACAGTGGTATTTATGAATATTTATTTATTTCATTTCTGAAAAGCTTGGGATTTTTCAGAAAAAGTATGTTTATATCTTGTACCTTTACATACAAAATAAAACAATTTTTCACACATATTAGAGGGAAAAAGATAAAAATTCACCATTTGTAAAACTAAAAACTACATAAATCATTTGAAATAATCAAGCAATAAACAAATAATCTTACTCCGTTTACTGAAGACAAAGTACATATCTTAAAATGAAAACTGCAACAAGATAAAATTCATAGATGTAAAACAAGTAATGATAACCTGCAAGTCCTCAATAAAATTTGCTTTCAAAGCATCAGCATGTAGTCCATCATATTTAGAAAGTGTACTAGTCAGATTTGGTAACTGGAGTATCATCAAATAAATTCTGTACAAATCCTGAAGTAGAAAACTCAATATAAAACACACATGAATAAAAAAAAATTTTGACAAAATTATTTTATTAATTTCAAGACAGTTTTAGATCCAAACTTAGGTAAAATATGTAAAACTTAAAACTTTTATAATCAAATAAAATACATCCGAGGATTACAATTATATTATACAAGTGTTAAATATTATTCATAATAATTACACACCTCCCGTTTTCTTTAAAATGCAAAATACCTGTAAATTAGCTTTATGTCTCTGAATTTTCCGTGACAATGTTTCAAGATCTGGAAACTTGGAAATATACCTCGATGTTTCATTTCTCAATGAAAAGTCATTAACAAAAGTTTCGACAATATCTAACCTTTCCTCTAAAACACAGAAAATTTGTTTGATTAAATACACAGAGAAAAACATTTTTTAATTTAACAGCTAGAATGTCATAAAAATATAAATCGCATTTTACAGAATCTCATATCAGTGTTAAAGCATCTTAAAATTCATGAAACATATAAAAAGCCAGGTGTCTTTTATTATTATTTTATTTTACATTTTCTAAAAAATCTATTATGAAGGCAATCTATTATAAATGCAAACTGTCTTCACTCAAAATATAAAATCTTGTCCTGGCTAAAATGAATAAAAGAAAAACATAAAAGAATGTAGTACTGTCAGTACACAAAACACAAACCTTCCACATGTCCTTGTGCATACAGGATTATCATACAGATATTACTTGTGCATACAGTAATGCTATTCCAAAAAGCATAAAGACTTTATGTTTCAAATTTAATCAATCTGTTGCTGATTTACAAACTGATGGGAAAACAAAGCCCTGCCCCTGCCCAAAACAAAAGACCTTTGATTTATTTTCCTTATGCTACCGCATGTAACTTAGTTTATCGCTTTTCAGAAAAGAACAGGATTTTTAGTTTTATCTTTCAAATTTAACTGCTCAATTATTGATTAAATAATGATTTAAATGTCATGAAATGTTCTTAGTAAGTTAAATCTTTAATTTTAACATATCTAATTGATAGAAAGTAAAATATGTTTAATTTATCAAATTGGTTATTTTTATGAATATTTGCCACTGTGTTATTAATTAAAAAAGTTTCTAATACAATATATTGCATAACTGGTATAGAATAATTTTTTAAAACTTTTATAATATTCTACACATTTCCCCTTTCTTACATTTTTTTTTAAATGTTTAATGATGCTTTTTTGGGGTATCAGATAGTAATTTGAAGTCTTCAAGTTACAATTTTGTTTTAATTATTTAGTAATAACTATATAAGTAATAAGAAATTTCATATAAATGCTAATTACAAAACATGTGATCTATACACTGCACTTTTCTAGAATCCTTAACATTAATTTTTAAACAGCATACCTAATTTTCGCTTATCCATTAGTGGCTGCTTAATCCACTGCACCAGAAGCCGTTTTCCAGGTCCAGTGAAACAAGAATTCAGATAGCCAAAAAGGAAATCTTTTTCCTGAAAATCTGTTTCATACATTAAAAAATAAAATAAAACAGAGTCCTTCATAGTACATAATCGTATCGTGTAACTTATATATATATATATAATGTAAGAAAGGCATACTACTAACTGAACTTAAAAGGACTTGTGAGGTCAAGAATTTTGCACATTGAGCTTGAAATAAAATTAAAAAATAAATTCTTCAAGCTATAGCCTATGAGCTTAAAGTGACACTTCGGTTCCTTTGCAAAAAAGTATAAACACAAAGTAAAGATCCAATTGTAATGCAAAATGTAAAAATATAATATGTACGAAATACTAATTAAAAAAATAGCAAAAGATGACAGCTTAAGTTGATTCAAATTTAAAAGTTAATATGTATGTAGAATAAAGTGTAAGCTATCTCAAAACATATTTGAAAAAAACTACAAGTATCACTTTAGCTTATAGGCTATGGCTTGAAGAATTTACTTTTTAATTATATATATATATATATAATATATAGTATATCAGATAAAAAATTTGCGAATCAAATTATAATTTAAAAAGCCTCTTAATTGCTCATTTTTAATTTGGGTACTTTCTCTCTAGTAATAACTTTCTCTAAACTGCATCATATCTGAAAACTAATTTTGCATTACGTTTACTGCAACTTCTGCATTGCCTATAGGTTTTAGCCAATCAGATTAATGAAAAATTTTACTATAATTACCGCTGTATAAGTAACGTTGATATCCATCTACACTTCCTCTGTCTATGCTTGCTAGCTGAAGGATATCTCTTGCTTGGCTGCTTTTATTAAAAATGTAATGCACCATCATCAAAATTATGGGATGCAGATTGGTCCCACTGTGAAGTGCACCAAGTAATAAAGATATGTTTGGAATACGGTCAAAAGTCGTTAATTTGGACACCCATAATCCGGACCTCAAAGCTACAAACTTTCTGCGCATGCGTCGCCTAGATGCGTAAGACCTTTACGGCTGCGAATATGCGTGTGCGCGTAATAAGTTTACGCATGTGCGTTTAATGTTATAACAGATGGTATAAGCTAAGCTAAAATTATCTAATTCAGTTAATGTTGCAGATTGCATTGTTTCTTAATCTTCGAATTGGATCCGGCTTATTATTTTTTGCAGACTGTTAGAGCAATTTTATAAAAGTAATCTTAAAATTTCGATTATGTCAAATAGAATTTCCAATATATATTTACTAATATGTAAAGGATCTACAAAGCGATAGTATGTTTCGAAGTCCATTAAACAAAAAGTGAGATTGCTGCAAAAATGGATAAAGGCATATCCTTCGTTTCTCTGACCATTCTGAAATCTGTTTATAAATTTCACGTTGCTCTGCGGCGGAGGGGGGGGGGACACTGCGGCGCGCAATGAATTGGAAGTTGATCTGTCAACACTATCCTTATCTTCAGGGCAGATGTTTTTATTTTATTTGGCTTATAATTCCTTACTAAATGTAAGTATTTCATCTCGATGTACTCCATCTTTGATATGATTTAAATCAAGTTCCTCGTCATTATAATTCGCTTTCGATAGTGAAGAAAATGTCACAGAGGTTATTGAAAACAAAACAATTTCGATTGATAAATTAGTCGGTATTCTCGACAGCAATTATAGGACTTGAACAGCGGAAACTTTATAACTAAACAAGATTATGTCTGTTTAACAGAATAAAAGAGAAAGTATCATCACATGAAACGAAGCAACTTAAACAACTTTCATTGAAAGACATGTTTAATAAAGTAAACAAATAAATGTTAAGCTTTTTTTTTTTTTTTTGTAAGTTTTGATACCCTTTAGATCATAATTGTTCTTATTTCATAAATAGGTTTTATTTTTAATTTATAATTTCTGCATGCCATCTTACCAGATTTAAACTGATGATCTATAATCCTGAAAAATCGATAATCCGGAATCGCCGAAGTCCCGACAAGTCCGGATTAATGACTTTTGACTGTATTAAGTGATTTTGTAGTTCTTCAAAAGTTCCCGGCATCTTCTGCTACATAATTGATATTTTCAGTGACCTTCTAATTTTCAATCCACTCATGACTGCAAAATAATGTCTTCCCTTGTCAAACACTCATCTCTCATCAGTTTCAGGCAAGGAACTAAATCATATTATCACACATATAAAATAATCCTGTTTTATGAATTTTTACACACAAAATTTACAAAACAGGATTATTATTTTTTCTTCTTATTCTTGAAGAAATAGTCTTTCAAATTGTCCTTAGAATGTTAATGTAGAATGGTTTGAATTTATGCTAAGATGCTCCTCATTATTAGGCTGTATATTTTTAAGATATTTTTCCATGTTATATATATTTACAACAAAAATTAAGTCAAATATGCTAAGCTTGTACAACTTTCAACAGTTCGATACTAATATTAAAGTTATCAGATACCCACTGAGTTACAGAACAATTAAGAAAACTACAGATATTCTTATTTCCAGAAGATAAACAATTTAAAAGAAAAACGTTTATATGCACTTAAATTCAGCAAGTGTTGATTGACAGCACATGTTGCAATACATGTCATTTTTCTTCACATAGTTACTATACATATAAAGGTCAAACAAAATCTATATATTCCACATAGACTTAAATAGAAACAACTAATTATTTATGTTAGTTACTAGAGTACAAATTCAAAATCCAGAACCATCAGGAATTTGGCAATTCCAGAAGCTTCCAGATTTTACATCCTCAGTTTAAATCTACTAAAACACAATTCTTATTATGAAAGAAGAAGGTAAAATTTAATATTCTTTTACTCTTATATCTCTCTCAGTGAATCTCATATAGTTTTAAAAATGAAAACTTTCATTTGGCAGAGTTGCATGATGCCACAATATGAAAAATAAGTCAGCAATTAAATCCATGTCCATGAAGTGTTCTTTGTTTCCTTTCATGACTGAGGTAGGATGCAAATATTTCACAGAGATTTGCATAATAATAATAAACCCAATTTTTATATGAATATTATAATTATTTATAAGTAAATCTACTTAATTTAAATATATAATCTTAAGTACTTCATATCAAATACTTGTAAACCAAACACATAACATTATTCTCTTCAGTACCCATAATACGTAATTTAGCAAGGAATTTTTATAATACACACTAAATGCAAGTGATTTTTTCTTTTAAACACTACTGAGGCATAGAGCTAATTTGGGGGGGGGAAGAGAGAAAGAATACTGATTATCTTAAAATGCATCACTCTGATGTATCTATTGTAAAAGTAAAATAATTATTATATGCTGTACAAATTTTGCAAAAGACAACTTGTGTAGCAGCTTGGCACAATAACTGATATACGTCATCATATCTGCTAGTAATACAAGCAATATATCAAAAGTTGCAAATTTAAAGAAGAATCCCATAGAAAATACAAACAATGCAAAAACAGCTTGATAGATCCCATTGCATCATAATTTTTAGATAACTGTACATAGGAAGTCTCTGCTGCATCAATATTAAAAAAAAAAAAAAAAAAAACTTAAAATGATAATAATAGTGAGGAGATAAAAAAATTTAAGGCCAGAAACTTCCAACATTAATTATAAATTAGGAAACATTTTGTTATTCCTTCTTATAAAGCCCAAATCATTAAAATGCAGAAAATCAATATCAAGTGATAACAGCTTAAATAATCTGATCTTATATAAACAGTTATTTATTCTAAAACTTTGCACAACATTTATGCAGCACTTTTCTTTTCTTCATATTTTTTGTAATACATGCAGTAATTTTACGTTTTACTAAAGCACACTAAAGCTTGTGTGTGAGAAACTATATTTAAGTAAAAGGAAAAAATAACATTGCATAATTACCAACCTTGAAGTGGGGAAAAACTGGAAATTTCCAGAAGGTTCTTCTTGCTACACAGTAACATTTTAAAAGAACTTGAAATCAACTAAAATTCTCTTTATAATGTATGATTTAAGTTATTGAACTTGTGTTTAACAAACAGATAAAATTTTGATTTGCACTTTTCCTTTATGCTTCATTTCGTCATGAACTCCCTCTGCAGAAAATTACACAGACCTGATTATCAAGCAGTTTAGTATAAACTGAAGGAAAAAATTCATAATTGCATGAGTTGTAACAGATATGTTTGGCTGTGTAAACAGCCGTCATTCTTATTTTATATTCAGAGAATGTCATTGATTTAATGAAATAAATTACCAATGTTTAGTCCAGAAGATAAGTTAGATTTGATTTAAGTTCTTTAGGTTAGAATATTGTGATGTTGATAAGAAAAATTTACATTACATGCAAGTGAACTGTACATTTCAGCTATTCTCTGCAATTTTTTTTTAAACTTCCAAGGGATGAGATAGAATAAGTCAAATTAAAGTTTTACTTGTGCATTTGGGATCATTCAGTGAAGTTTTAAATTACATGTGTAAATCAAATTTATAGCTTTGAAGTAACACTAAGGAATGAAAGCTAGATTTAAGCACTTAGAAAGCCCGTCTCCATTATTATTAATTGCATAACATGATTCTGATGTAAAGTACATTACTATTTAATAAGGTATTCTAAACTTTACAGTCTTTGGCTAGACAGCAAAAATCCTGACAGAGAAGAAAATCTTTTATTCATCAAAGTACTCTTAAATACGATGAAAATAAAATTAATTAACATACAAGAATAAACTTAATAATCATATAAAATTTAATATGCAGAACTATGCAGAAAATAACCCAACTGGTTCAGAATTTTATGAATAATAAAGGAAAGGAATTTTAAAAAAATAAAATTTTTTAAAGAATTTTATGATAAACAGGCAGTAATTAAGGATTAACTTAAGATGCTTAAGAGCAAGAAATGTGATGTATATTTGGTAATTTAAAACATTTCTTGCTCTTTTGCATCAAATCATTTTCTATTCAATTAACAAGCAGCAGCAAAATTTACCTTGCACATAATTGCTAATCATTGAATAATAATCTTATGATTATCAAGATAATTTAAATGAGTGTAAATATTGAATATTAGGAAAACAATAATGAATTAAACTTCTTAGAAATTTACTTTTACAGCAACTCTTTTCTCCCCCCCTCCCTTATTAAGCTTTTTTTAAGTTTGTTTGAAAATTTCAGTTTTCATAAAGCTCAAACTCAGAACTCTTACTAATAATATGTTTATGTATTACAGTACAAAGTCCGTAATCCGGACTCGTCGGAACTTTGGCGATTCTGGATTAGGGGTTTTTCCGGATTATGGACCATCAATTTAAATCTGGTAAGATGGCATGCAGAAATTATACAATTAAAAATATGAAACCGTTATTTATGAAATAAAGAGCAATTATTATCTAAAGGGTATCAAAATATACAAAAAAAAAAGTTTAATATTTATTTGTTTATTTTATTAAACATTTCTTTCAACGTAAGTTAAGTTGCTTCATTTTTTGTGCTAATACTTTCTCTTTAATTCTGTTAACAGACATAATTTCTTGTTCAGTTACAAAGTTCCACTGTTCAAGTCCTGTAATTGCTGTGTCAACAATACCGACTAACTTGACTATTTGAAATGTTTTCATTTTCAATAACCTCTCTGTCACTTTCTTCACTATCGAAAGTACGCATGGGTAAACGCATAGCAGATGCGCGCATTAAAAGTGCATGTGTAATTGTTTTACGCGCATGCGTTAAGTTTGTGGCTTTGAGGTCTGGATTATAGATCATTTCGGATAATGGATGTCCGAATTATGGATTTTGTACTGTAATTACAATAAAATGCAATTATTGAACAGAAAAAAAAAATACCTTTTGTATTTTGAGGAAATAATGCAAGACCACTGATGGCTTGTGCATCTAATTTTGCATAAAGTTCTGATTTGAAAACTGATAAAGTGAACTGATCAAAATTGTGCTCATCAGATAAAAGCTGTCAGGAATTAAACAAAACAGTTACTTTAAAAAAAATTTTAAAAATACAAAACCTATTATTTGATAAAAAAAAGAAGGTCATACGTTTATTTCTAACTTAAAAATTAAATTTTCCATATATTCTGAAAAATTATATGTACATACATGGAAAATCGATATCAGTTACAGGACAATATCAAATAACATGTCCCTTTCTTATCATAATTACCTTTCCATGGATGGCCAGTTACTGACCGAAACGTCTAGCGTCTCATTTTTATTTAAAACTCCTATTATTTACAAATTCTGGTGGAAGCAAATGAAACAGTAGGTACGCAGAAAACATTTTGATCTAAGCAAAAATGTGTTATTTAAAATAAACCTAATAATAATAATAATAATACCTGAAGTTCATATGCTTAAGTATTCACCACTTTTGGCAGATCTGTCTATAATCTACCAATAAAGTAACTAGGAAAGAGAAATGTTATTATCATTTCATTTGAGAAAGCCCAAGTATTTCAGAGTGATAGTTATTCATTGCAATGTATAATTATTTTCAATTTTGCTAATAATTAAGCTTGATTAAATACTATCTACTCTTCAATTTCAGCTAAATGTATTCATTTCTTCAGTTCAGAAAGTTATATAAATTAAAAACACGTGAAAGTTTAAAAACCAGCATAGGTTTAACTGAAGTTCATTCCTTATGCAATTAAGAGCTACCATGCAGACCATAAGAACTAACATCAGTCTATTTAAAAGACAGCCAGTATTTGTCAGACGCAGCTGAAATTTCTGCTTGTTGTTCAGAGGTTGGTAAATGTCCCTTAAATGTGGTCAGCTAAAGGGGAAAATATCATGTCTCAAGTTTGAGATGATTTTGATGTAGTAAATTCTTAAGGTAGGTCCACGTGTAAAAAGTTATTGTTGAAAAATAATCACCCTTTTAATTGTAATTCCTCAATTTAGTGTCAACCCACCACAAGCAGACAAAGTTGGTTAATTTTAAATCTGAGTTTGTATATAAGATGACTGTAATCAGGGCTAACTTCACAACAGTTAGGAAACACAGTGAGGTAGCACTTGGAGGACATACATTTACAATGAATTTAAATAAGAGGGAAAAACAGCATTATCAACTATTAAAGGTTAATTGTTGCCTTAAAAGCACCAGACAATGTACTTAACTATACTTTTGACAAGAAATTTCCAAGCAAATATTGGGATCATCAGAGAACTATGGCCATTTGTGGCATACAGGCTCGGAAAAAATTACACAGTTCCTTATGAGAGCAAAACGTGTTAACCAAAATTATTTTACAAATTCTATGTCTGTCTATTTGACATCCATACTATTCTTCCCATGAAGTGGAGAAAAAAAAAAAAAAAAAAAAGTTACTGTATTACAGGGATGTTAAACTCATAGGTACACTTGGGCCAAATAAACAAGGTTTAACTTTACGTGGGCCGCAAAAAAAAAAAAAAAAAAAAAAAAAAAAAAAAAAAAAATCAATATTCATAGAAACGTAGATTTATTTCGAATAATACAATAATAAACATATATATATAGAAAAGAACAAGAAAAATTTAATGTATATGTTCTGATACTTGACATCTCTTCTCTGCTATTATCTTTCCTATTTCGGGAGAAAGTTTGTTTGCAGTGATAACTTTCAACGCTGACCCAAGGTGAGCATCATTAATACGGTTTGTAATAGGAGACTTATTACCTTTCATGACTGAAAATAACTGCTCGCACCGATAAGTGCTACCAAACATGGAAATAATTTCATATGTGAATTTTCGAGTATTTTCAAACCTGGCTGGTAAATATTTGTAAAATTCAGGCATGCCCACTTCAACAAATTTGGCTTTCAAATTTGAGTTGCATTGAATCTCGATCACCTCCACTTGCACATGGCTGGGTACTGAGTCAATACTTATTAAGAAAATCAAAGAAAAAAAAAAAAAAAAAAAAAAAAAAATTGTCTTCGAGGGAACTAAAATCATTAAACCTCGTTTCAAATTCTGTTGTTAAATTTGCAATTTTTTCTGCGTATTTTTGATACGAACAAGTATCATCTAAACTTGATTTGTTCATGCTGCACGTCGGGAAGTGCATCAAATCTTCATTTTTAAGTTGTTTTTCTCAAAGAACTAGTTGACATTTGAATGCTTTAATTATGTCAAACATGTTCATAATGACATGATCTTTTCCTTGTAACGATAAATTTAAATCAGTTAAGTGTTTAGTTATATCAACCAAGAAAGATAAATCTTGTATCCATATTGGATCGTAAAACAAACTTACGTCTTGATTTTTCGTTTTTAAAAACTGACATATTTCTTCTTTCAAATCCCAGAATTGTTTGAGAATCTTGAAGCAAGATAACCAACGTACCTCGGTATAGAGGACAAACCCGAATATTCACTATCTAACTCACTTAAGAAAGCAGTGAATTGACACTGATTTAAACCTCGAGATCTTATAAAATTTATAAATTTTTTTATATATGACAAAATATTCTCCATATTTATTACTTTTGTGGATAGAACTTGATGTATAATACAATGCATATGATGAATGTTTGAACCGTGAATTTCACTAAGGTTTTTTTCTTAGTAATGCTACGAAGCCCTTGTTTTTCCCGGTCATTGATGGAGCGCCATCTGTAGCTACAGATTTGAATTTTGCCAAAGGTAGATTGTATTTCTGCAGAAGTCCAAAAACACAAGTAAATATATCTTCTCCTGTGGTAGTACCAGGCATCGGTATTAGTTCCAGTAATTCCTTAAAAATGTTAAAATTCTTGTCACAAGAATGAAGAAACACTGCTAATTGAGCTTTGCCAGTAATGTCCGCGCTCTCGTCACAGGCAATGGAGAAACTTTCGAAACTAGATGATTTTGCTTTGATCTGATCACTTAAATTCGCAGCTAAATCAGTCACTCTTTCCGCAACTGTATCGAGACAATGAAATTGATTGAAAAGCCTTCACATTTCCAGGACAAACAATTTCTCCAGCTTTCATTAGGCATTCCTTGATGAAATCACCGTCAGTAAAAGGCTCCGAATGTTTAGCTATCAACTTGGACAAGACGTAGCTTACATGTACTGCCGCTTCACTTTCTTGCAATACTTTACTAAACATGGACTGTTGCTTTTTCACTCCATCTTGAGCTCTTTCAACTTTTTCTCTCATTAATCCTTCGTAATTGTTATATTTCGATTGGTTGTTCGTATGACGTTAATATTATATACTTTGGTACATTAATATTATTATTACATATCAAGCAGCTTATTTTATCTTTTATTTCAGCAAAAAATATTCTAATTCCCGTTTTACTTGGAATATTCTATGTTCGTCAGCGATTTTTCGTTAATTTTACTACCACTTGTTTTGATATAGACATACTGAATACAAAGGGCTGGAATAAACACGTTTAAATTAAAAAGTTAACAAAAAATTTATTCGTCCAAAAAGAAATCAAAATGCTGAAATATTCTTCAAAATATTCTAACATATCAAAAATGTCAAACGTTTCATCAAAACGAAAATAATTCTATCTCACAGCGAAATCGCTACTTCAATAACAGCATTAAGTAACAAACGTCGCTAGAAAGCACTACTGGATTGTTTGTTTCTCGGCTTTATAAGCTTTATAATTAATTTCTCGAATTACTGGAAACATCTATAAATATCTGTTTTGTGGATGGCACAGCTATTAAGAGATTTATTATTAGGTATAAATGCACGCGCTGTTCTATTTTTAACCTTCCAACGAGCTGTCTTTTCAAAAATCGTCTGCGTTGCTAAGGCAACATGAAGCCAACTAATACAATTCTATATAAAAAAAACTAACTAAATAAATAACTATGAAATCCGTACATAGGAATTAAGAATAATTAATAATAAAGCAAAAAGCATGCACATGCATGCATCAATAATCGTAAAAAACTATGATTGAAACTGAGACCATGAGTTCGGCCACATTGGCTATGGGGATGCGTACAAGTTCTGAGTGCAGTGTCCCCCAAAAGCCGAGGTTAGCTGAACGAGCTACTCACATGCATTGTAATTTAAAGTGGTGTGCCAGCTCACTGTGAGTAATCTAACAACACTGAAAAATTATCGTTAATTATTGCAGTAAAAATTTCTTTTTTTCTCGTCGATATGTTTATTATTATATATTATTATTTGTCGATATATTGGCTGGGCCACTAAAATATTTGTTGTGGGCCGCATTCGGCCCGCGGGCCACGAGTTTGACGTCCTTGCTGTATTACATAGCAAAGTGCATTTGATATAGATGCATAATATAAAAATAGACAACAGAAAAATCATTTATTTACAATTAACGAACTGAATGCTACCCTAATACCTGATTTATTAAAATTTACAAATTAAACTTAGTATGCAACAGAATCATCAGCTCAGGGACTTCCTGCTCATGTCAGATACAACCAGAGGAGTGGCTTTAAGGCCACCAGAGATGCCAAATCTTTATTCCCTTAACTCTGATTCTCATTTTTATTTAAAATTTCTTTTATTTACATATTCTGGTGGAAGCAGATGAAATAGCAGCAGGACAGATTTTGATATAAGCAAAACTGTGTTAATTAAAATAAGCCTAATAATAATAAATAATGTTCATATGTAGTATTCACAGCTTTTTGCAGATTTGTCTATAACCTACTAATGAAGGACTTATAATAACTTAATTTGAGGTGAATGATGATACTTAAGTGACATAAATCAGAGAGAATACATAATTTGTTACAACCACTAGCATTGCTATTCTGTCACTGACTATATGTCAGTGTCACATTTTGATAATCTTACTAGGAAAATTAATGTTACTAAATGTACCACTACTTTAGTTACTAATGTGTATATGAAAGCTTAGGCATCCTGCTCATGATTTCTAGTACTGTAATCCCTTGCATTACTTGAAAAATAAATTTTCTATTACAGTATAATTTATTTTCAGAAATAAAATGTTATCATGTAATGTTAAAAATTTAATCATTATAACATTCATGCATAAAAGAAGTCTAATCATATACAGAATACAGTTAAAATATTACCTGCAAATATTTTATAACTGCTGCAACAGAATGCAAAGCCACTCTCTTTTCTGGCTCATCTGTGAAAGTAAAGATTTATATTAAATTAGAATGAAATTGGATGGGAAGATTTTACATAAATCAGTTGGATTTAAAAATATAAGGGAGCTATTAAATTATCTTTCTGTGAAAACAAGTTGTATAGCATAAATGTAATGCAGTAATGCAAATATCACTTGGAAATATAACTTGAAGAAAACTTTTAGTTTTAATAACTACATAATTTTCCACATCCACATCATATTAATTCTACATTTTAAAAGAGAAAATAAAAAAATAAGAAGGGGGAAGGAACTCTAGACATTGTGTTTTTCAAGAGATAAACTCACTATAAATAAAAAAGGAGGGAAGAAAGAGATCACAGATTGCTGTTCTGTGCCTTTTTTACGAAAAGGCACTAAAGAACACAATATTTAAATTTTCCTCCCCACCAACCTAATTCATATTATAAGAATCATTCATTGTTTTGTGTATTTTGACCGAACAACTCCTAATTTAAATTTTAGGGTGTACTGGTGAAAAGTCAAGTGCAAGGTAAAATAAAACATACAAATAATTAAATCAAAAGAAACTATGTTAATTTATTTTGCAAAAGGCATAGTTAAAATTCAAGTAGTAAATGTGATAAAAATCAACAAAATTAAATGAATCAGTATTTTTCAGGAAAAATCTGAGAAAAATCAACATAAGCTATACTCTAACATTGCATCACTGGCATCATTTTCTATTACATTTAGCATTTTCTGATACATTCAAATGCCAGTTTATCAATTTCATAAATTTTGTTTCAAAGGATATTTTCTATATCAGGTTTACTGCTAGAATTACTAGCCTATAGCCCATAAATCAATCATTCAAAAGAAGGGCAACTTCAACTGATCTACAAGAGGAGTTTAAATTTTTGCATATTTCACACCGGAGTACTATTACAGAACAAATATTGCACATACAAATCATTTATTATTAAGAAGGTAAACAACTTTAAAAGTTCTCAAGGAGTAAACAAAATTAAAATTTACAGTAACAAAATCTTGCCAATGAAATTAAGGAATGGTTTTCTCAAGCTATCTGAGACACGAAAAACAATTAACCATACCAAAATTAATTACCTTAACAAATTTCAATTAACTTTAACAATCTATTTAAGAGCTTCCTTTTATTTCAGACAGGTCTTACATTACTACTCAGCTTATAGAAATTTTAAGCATGGATAACTATTATTCCCTGTTATAAAGTGAGCTTTTTTCCGAAACTTCTTTCCCCCCTTTCAGACAATGACTAAACAAGTTTTTCGTTAATTAAATTGCTATAACTTAAAATCTGTTCAAGATAGAATTATGGAAGAGATCTCAAATTAAAGAGCAAATTTTTCTGCTTCTAATGATATTAAATATTAGGAGTTAAATTTAAATTAAGAAATCCTAGTTTATTACGTGGAAATTTACCCAATTTCATTGTGTGTTTCAGCGCATTTGCAAGCAATGTGTGAAAAGAAGTTACCAATTTTTCGTACCAAAAAACAAAATCCCAATTAAAATTAAACCAAACCCATACAAATAATTAATAAAAAGAAATACATGTTGTGTAGCATAAATTTAGAATAATTAATAAATTAAATTTTGATAACCAGTAATTAAATAATTAAATGAATTTGCTACACGACATTGCTCATCCCTATCCATGTCACATCCTATTAAAAGATTTGAAAACCTAAAAGACATAAATAAGGTGCATGACATTCCTAATAGTAAATTATAATTTATACAAGAACTTCTCTATAACTAAATTTTAAAATCTAAGAAATTAAAACTTTAGTAATACAACAAATAAAATCATCACATATAACTTCTATTTGGAACTTATCACATTACAGTTAATACAAAAATTCCTCAGAGTTTATTCTAATGCAATACTAAATGAACGAAGAAAAATCTAAGAAATTAAAACTTTAGTAATACAACAAATAAAATCATCATATATAACTTCTATTTGGAACTTATCACATTACAGTTAATACAAAAATTCCTCAGAATTTATTCTAATGCAATACTAATATGGAAAACTTCCATACGAATCTTTTAACCAGAATATTTAAATAAATATATAGAAGATTTCAAGTATACTCTATAAATATAAAGAAATGTGAAAATGCTTTTTGTTTTAGAAAGATTAAACATTCAGAAACGGAGGCATTTAAAAAAAAAAATAGGTACTTCTTTATTACACCGGCCCCTAAAATTGAATTGCCAATCAATCGAGATATCTCACCAAAATCTGGTTATGTGTTCTTATACCTCATCATGTGATCATATATTAGCACTAGTTGAGTGTTCTTATACCTGGCCATGTAATCATATACCAGCGACGTGTTGCATTTTTGCTCTCGCTGCACAATCTTATATTATTCATTATTATGAGGTTTTCAAATTGTGTGGGAATATGACATTAGTAATGAGGTGGATGGCATATAATTTTCTCAAGAAAGAGGTCTTTTACCTAACAAATAAGTGCGAAATTGGTCACGGCATGATGTTAACGACAAAACCATTTGGAGGTGCAATGGTGGTTCAGTGGTTCCAGATTATGGTTCATGCCTGCTATTAGATTTATGTATTCTTGGGAAGAGGAGTTTAGATTCATGAAATGGTTTAAGAGACAGCTTAATATGTGTGAAAGTGCTGCAGTTGATTGGAACAATTATATGCAATAAAACTATTGTTTAATAATAAGGATAAGGATTCTTAAAAATTTTCTTAGGAAATGACTTGTGAGTATTATTGTTATTATTATATATTGTATTGTTTATTTTCATATTTGCACTTCACGAGCTTGGCAAAATTATAGCTGGGATGTTAGTGCAAATCTAAAATTGCCAAATATGGTTGGGGGTTGCTATAACAAAGAAGTAAAAAAAAAATGTTAATTTTTCTTAAAAGAGTAAAAACAAACCGTTGTTTGGCCAGAAAATTCTTTATAATGAAAATAATTTTACACACACAAAAACTGTGGCTCTCAAATAGAAAGCAAGTACATGTAATGTAACAAATTCAATATGTATCTTTTCCTTTGAACTCATATATCCATAAAGTTATATGTTAATATGCTAAATTACAAAAGATATATATACACTGCTCGACATTGAAAATGCAACACCAAGAAGGAGTGGTCAGAAAGTGATGAAAATTGGAAAAAAGAGACAGCAAGCAGCAATAAGTGATCTTTATTTCAAAATGATAGTCAGAATACAAAGCGAGAATGGCATCGGCTCAGTAGGATGTAGGACTACCGCGGACAGCGATGCACGAAGAAACACATCTAGGCATAGAGTCAATAAGAGTGTGGATGGTGTCCTGACGGATGGCTCCATTCCTTTCAACATTTGCCACAGTTGGTCTTCTGAACGAGGGGGCAGAGTCGCAAACAGCATCCAATCACATCCCACATGTTCGATTGTGACAGGTCAGAATGACCTGCTGTGTGGTCGGGCATTATCCTGCTGAAAAACTGCATTAGGCAGCTCCTGAAGGTAGGGGACTGCCACCGGCCACAGTGCATTATCCAAGTATTGTTGTGTGGTCATAGTGCTCTGAATATGAACTAGAGGTCACCTGGAATCGTAGGCATTAGCGCCCCAAACCATTATGAATTGTTGTCGTGCGGTGGGGCGTTACACAGTTACTGCCAGATTAGATCTGTTTTCACGTCGATGCCACACATGTATGCGGCGACTGTCAATGGATAAACAGAAACGAGACTCATCTGAAAACATGAAGTTTCGCCATTCTGCCATCCACATCGCTCCAGTCCAGCACCATTCTAAACGCTGGCGTCTATGCTGTGGGGTCAATGGCAGTCTTAACGGACGCCGTGAGTGCAGGCCACGTTCAACCAATCTACAGGAAATGGTTCTGGTCGACACAGGAACATCCAGGGTATCTTGCACATGCTGCAGAATCACGGTACAAGTGATTTGCAGGACTGCCATAGCTTGTCGGCAGATGCGTCGATCCACACATGCTGACGTCACTCTGGCTGCACCTGCACCCCTCCTTCCCACATTTCCTTGTTCCGACCATGTTCGCCATAGCCAACGCACCGTGCTCGCATCCATATGGGTATCAGCTGCGATTTGATGTAAGGACCAACCCGCCCTTCTCAGGCCGATCACCATAAAATCGTCTATCTGCTGGAAGTGTCTTGGTTGACAGCGGTCTGGCTTCTTCCTATTAACGTTCTCTGGGACAAAAACAACTTCTTCGTAACTCATCTGGCAGAATAACGACTAAGTATGCCCTTCTGCACGTTCCTTCCTTATATCTTACTTACGGGTCGGAGAGATGCGCAGTTCCTATTCGCATAACTCAGTGATGTGCGTCTACTCTAAATTTTGCATAAATTTCTGACCACTCCTTCTTGGTGTTGCATTTTCAGTGTTGAGCAGTGTATATTTGTTATCTACTGAATATAATTAATACATAATAAGAAAACAATTTAACTAGCTTTAATGTCTGGTTTTTGTAAGAACTTTATGCATGATTTTAAGTTTACAGAACGTACCTTATTTATGAATATAAATTAGTTCAAAATTGTTGCATACATATACACGACTGATGTTGCATACCTGTATTTTAGAATTTTGTATTATTTATTATTTCTACACATTAAGAGCAAAATTAGTAGATACAGGTGTTGTTCAATTAAAAAGTGAAAGAATGAACTATCTGTAACCAAAGCCAAAATTTGTACAATTTTTATGCATCATTTCTTAGGCTAAAATTAAAACACACTTACCACTGCTCATTGAAAGAACTTCTTTTCTTAAACATTATAAGAATATAAATCATATTAAAGAAAAGCACTGACCTAAAATTAAGTAGTTAAAATCAGTGTCCTGAAGCAAGCGTTTTAAGTCCTGCGTCAAATCACCAAACAAGAAATCACCTAAAATATAATTAATTTCACATTTTATAATATATACACTACATAATACTGCAAATCCTGATGTTAAAATTGCGGAGTCAAAATACTAGCTACATCATCATTCATTTATCACAGTTAAATTTGTATTATTATTTTTACAATCAGAAAGCTTTAGGTTACACTAAACACTGATTTGAAAGTTCAACCATCTTAACATCAAATTTAATTCATAGTTCCAACTAAAAACAACTTTTTATTCATACTAAAAAAAAACATTTGATGCTACATGCTGCAAAGGTTTACAATATAGTGTTTAAGCAAAGTTACCTAATCACATTGCCAAATCAGAAGTCTTACAACTGGCTACAATCTAATTTCTAGATCAAAGAATGGATCAAACTACAGTAAAAGTATGATAATTCAGCAAGTTTAAGATTTCAATAATCCTGAATTATCAAATACACCAAATAACATGTTATCTTAAATTATCAAATACACCAAATAACTTATCTTAAATTATCAAATACACCAAATAACATGTTATCTTAATCTTATTAAGATAACATGTTATTTGGTGTATTTGATACGAAAAATCATACCAACAATGCAACATCAAAATTTATTTTGAATAACTGACATATATATTTCTTTACCAGGTTTAATTTCTGTGATGGCAATATTATGTGCTTTCAAAATTTTTTCAAGAGTAAGTCTTGCAGAATTTTCAGTCTTCATATTTGAAGCAACCACAGGCAGAAGACATTCTTGCGGACTTAACTGCACTAAAACTGACTGATAAATAAATAAATAAATAAATTAAACACAGAAATATATAAATGAAAATGGAAATTTTTATACAATTATGTAAAAGCAATAAAAAGTATTTACTTGTAAAACATTAGACATTAAACATTTTAATAAATTGTAATAGCAGTTTTAAAAAAAATTGTGAAACCAAATTTGACAGATGCTTTCAGATTAACACCCATAGTAATGAAAATTCCTTTGAACAACAAAACTATGAAAAGTTTAATAGTCTGAAAAAAGTTTCACGAATTAAGATATTTCAATGATGAAAAAAATTAAAAAGTCAAGATAGATTTATATTCAGATTATTTTATTATTTTCAATGGCATGAGCACATGGCAAATGTTTTACAAGTAAGAATACATAAAACACGAAACAAAAAGAAAATCTTATTAGACTCCTACAGCCTCAATATTTCCCCTATTTATGTTAATTATGTGCAAATGAATGCATAAATGGACTTCTGTGCGCAAGTTAGTGCATGAAATATATTAATAAAGTGACTGGCAATGTGGTGTTTAATTTGTTTATAATGTGCTATCATTGTTGGCTTGAAGAAATAGTGAAACAACTACAAAAAATATCGGTTTTAGACCTTCAGGCTGTCAAAGGAACTTGAATCTGCTGTTCTACTACTGCACAAACATTTTACAAGATTGGATATTAGGAAAGAAATCAACAGACTTGGTCCCACTCACTCTCACCTTCCAAAGAGGCCCATTTAAAGTGATAATGTCATGTTAAAGAGAGTCAAAAGGAAAGGAACTCTATACTTCTTCATGACAAGTCCAGATAGGAGTAAGGAACATGCAACTTGCCTTCCTTTTATCATGAAACATTCTGATTGCACATCCCTTCATTGTTTGAAATGGAATCATAAAAAATATCTGCATCACTTTTACAATGGCTCTTGTAACTGGTCACAGATATGTGGACAATGTCTTGGAACTGCATGCAGGGATATTTATGGATCTGTTAGCTGTTTTTTACTAATGGATGATGATATTCATCTACATCAAACATCTCTGTTGTCAGATTTGAAAACAGAAGACATCGCTCAAATGGATTGAAATGCTTTTTTCACAGACTTGAACCTGATTGAGCATGTGTGGGATGCCTTAAGTTGATGAACTGCAATGAACTATGAATGACAAACTGCAATCCTCTTCGAAACTTTCATCTGAAGTATGATTTTCAATTTGAGTGGTGAGCAATTCCACTACACTTCATCAACAGTTTGGTAAATTTTATAAAACCAAGATGTGAGGTTTACATTTCTACGAAAGATGACCACACTGAAGAAAGATCTGCTGCAAAAAAGAGATCATTTTAAAATTTCCATTAATTTGACTTTGAATTCAATGTTTTGACAGTAATCAATTGGCAAGCATTCTAATTATGCTAAATAATGCTTTTATAAAAATTGATTTTAATCTTTTTCAATATATATAACAGTTAATTTTATTTCTATCAATATTCTTTAAATTTACTAAACAGTGTATAAGCAGAGTTTACTCTATTTAAGTTCTAAGCATTCAAAAAGAAAAGAGAAAAAAAAAAGAAAAAAAAAAGACACATTATCCTCATTATTTTATTTGCTAGTTCATCAGCCTGGTTATTTCCATCAATATTGCAGTGAGCAAGAATCGACTGGAAACAAAATGGTTTTCCCCTCCATTTTCCTCTGCTCAAGGAGAAAGTGGCATTCACATATTTTCTCAGAAGTCAGAACTTCACTTTATTCAATAGCTTGTAAGGCAGCCCTACTTTATAAAACATGTACATAGACAGCCATGCTTTCTCTGGCAAATTTTTCTACCTTAAAAGATAGAATTGCTTGTCCTATCAAATGTAGTTTTTTGATTTCCTATGGAAATATAAAATGAAAAAGGAAAAAGGAACAAATTCCTTTGTCTGTATTAGGCAATTTTTCAAAATGATGATATCAGTATAAAACAGACATGGTCAAACTGCAGCTTGGAAGCTATTCGCAGCACTTTGCCTCCTGAAACGCGACTTGTTTGCAATCAATAGCAGTTTTATTTTTGAAATAGAAATCATGCAATGGCACATTTCTTTAATTGCTAATTTAATTTCCTAAATTATATTTACTGTGCAATAATTTATCTATTTCAAATTGTCCATGACAGGCTTTTTGCCAGAGTAACAGAAAATTTCAATTTCTGAAAACTAGTATAATGGTCTTATTATTTCTACAGCAGACAATGGCCATCAGGATAGGACAAAATATACAAAGTTAATCTAAAAGAGGCTCAATAATATTAACATTCTCTCAAGTTAATTTTATATCAAGCACTTTCTACTTACATTCCTTCTGTGTGATACCATTCTTCAGATTTGTGATTCAATGTCTTGGAAGATTTGCTATTCGTAATAGTGCATTACTTTTATTCAGTCCTTGAATGGCATGAGTAAAGCTGAAAAATCACTGTCCATGCAAGGCTCTTTCAATTTGATGATTTTTTGATTGGTGAGGTGAACTATCCCTATCATACTTGATTAGGAGACTAGTCTTAATTTTCTCAGCTGTGAGTGTCCTTCAAAATTAATTCTCCATTGCTTCACAGTTTTTGAAATCACTCACAGTATTATGCTGCAATGAACACTTTTTCCATATGAAACTCTTTATTTTTCACTATAATTTCTTTGTAATTCTATGCAGAGATCATAATTCATTTCAGCAATAGTAGAGCATCCTGTTTGGCTTCAATGGGGTGACCCACTGCATTGACGATGATTTCAATTCTGGTCAAAATGTTAGTTCATGTTTTATCAATTGCTGTTTTAAGACAGAAGTCTTTTTCCTTCATCATTAAATCTTCATATCAATAGTGCTGCATTAAGCAATGAGGGATCAATTGAACACAAACTTCTCTTTTCAGCAAAGCTTCAGTCAAAGCATGGCATATTAATGATGGAAAAATTACTTTAGCTTATGATATTTTTTGGTATATTGGTTAATGATTGTCTTTCTAGCTAAATGAAAACATCTAACTAGGTTAGAGCCAACTTTCTGCTACTCGGTATTTTTAAACATTTTCACCCTTTAATTCAGTGACCTGCACCAGTTGTCCTGGTTCTGATACCAGCATCACATTCTTTAATCTGTTGATATTTTTGGTCTTTCTAATCTTCAATTATCATTTATGTCTGACTTCACGAAAGTTTAGTAGCCCAACAAAAAGTTCTACTATGATCCACTGCCTGATTACTACTAATTTCATACAATTAATGTAAAATTTTGTTGGAGTTTAGTGCCATAAATAAGTTTCTAGTTTTCAACTCTGGATCGTTCTTTTGCTGAAGTCACAATACCCTCATATGTCTACTGTCTCCATTTCAGATTTATTTTCTGTACACAGGTTGTGTAACAATTAAGCTGACAAGTCAATAAGAAAATTTTTTATTTCAAGCTTTCTTCTCAATTACTTAGAGATTTAAGATGAGACAGTAAGTCATTTGACCACCTTTATGATTCTAATAGTTAACAGTTAAAGTAGGATAGATCTGTATACCTGCTTGGCAAAGAACTCAGAAAATAAACTATTATGTAGACGTCTGCTGTGTCACATAAGACCTCCACATCAAACATCTCTGCATGTCAATAGAAATTTTAAGAATTAAAACGTTCATAATTTATCTATATTTTTTTAATAAATTCATTATAGTAGTCATACGTATGTTTTCTTTCTTTCCCTTTAGTTTTTTATTTACCTTGTATATGTAAAAGAGTTCAAAATTCATTCATCAGTCATGGCTGGCAGACAGTTGGAATGTGTGCCCAACAAAGTATTTACAACATCTCGGCATGAACTGTTGATTTATTAGCAACAGGTTATCTATGTCCAGAATTATTGGACTGATTTCAGACATAGTTTCAAAAACCAACCAAGAAGATTTCAAGAAATTTTAATTATGCAGTGTACTGATTACTTAAAAATTAATGCCACGATGAAATAGTATAGAATTCAGTTGATAGTGATGATTCGAATACTCCTGAAATTGCAATTATGTTCTTATTTTTAGTGAATTCTATACTAGGCATCAATAAAATTAGTCATTCCAAGATTTAAGTTAAAATGTTTAAAGATTTCTCAGGTTAGGATTCAAATGATGAAAAAAGCCTCAAGATTCGATGTTTGGAATTTAAAATCTTTCTGAAGATTCCTGTGATCTGAGGATTCAAAAGTACCAGCCTTAAATAAAACAAAATGTAACTTATAATCCATTTCTCATCTAATGAATTAATTCAATTACTTTAAGCTAGATTTGATCTCGGTATGTTGACCCTCATGTTAATTGTGTGGAGGAACAAAATTAATTTTTGTGCAAAAGCCTAAAAAAAGTTAATAGCTTATTTTTAAATACTTTGCTTTTCTTGAATAACAGTTTCTCTTCAATGTGCATCGACTTGTATCACTTAATTTATTCTTCTTAAAGACTGCTTATGAAGTAAAAAAAGGGGGGAACACACAATAATTATTTATAATTCCTTCTAATAAAGTCGTTTTCAGATAACTGTAGACCAACACATATTCTTCTGATTTCTGTTTAGCTCTACTAAAACCAATACATTAGCAAAACCTCTACTAAAGCCAATAATAATTATAAATGGAGGGGGATAAGGAAATCAGAGGAAAATGTTTTGTTTTTCTACCTGAAGTCTTACTACCTACTTAGTTGCATAGTGCAATAGTTAAAAATTTATATTTTCTAGGGACTTTTCTAAACACAAAGCAGAAGATATAAGATTAATTTATTCATTTTATATGAGGGTCACTCTGAAATTTTTTAGATACACATAGGTTTTTAAGCTGTACTTACTAAATTTTAGGTGTTCTAAATAGTCTCCTCCAACATTAGTGCCCTTCTGTAGGCAAAATTTCCAAAGATTAAATGCCTCAAGCTATTCATTTCTTGGAATTGATTAAAGAAAAAAAAAAGCATTTATAGCCTCAACAATCTAATTTTTTTAATGAAAACGACATCCATGCAAACATAAAAAATAGCCTGAAATTACACATAGCTAAATATAGGGTGAACAGAATGGATGTTCTATCACTTGTTTTTGTTCAAGAAGCTCGACTGTTAATCCTGCTGAATGAGAAGATGCAATGTCATGCTGTATCATGAGTCCTCTAAATTCATTTCTTGAAAAATTTCTGGAAGACACTTAGTGGTGTACCAGTTAGAGTGACTGTTTTCTGTCATTCCCAGTTAGCTGTGACTGTCTTTTATCCTTCCAGCTTGATGGCTTTGACCAGACCTGTACTTCTGAAGAAAACGGCATACATTATTTTTTCATGGCACATTGTCTTTTCACCATTGTGGGCATGGGATCACTTTCAAAGACCCATACTTTACTTTCTTGACGTGTTAGAATGTCAAAAAATGGTATGTATGTTTCATCACCAGTTAAGATTTTAGAAATAATGTGGTGGCCACCATCTTTAAGTAATTTAAGGGTTCATATACAATTCTTCATAAATAATTTTATGTATGGTAGCAGACCCAATGTTAAGTTCTTTCTGTATCATTTGGTAGGCACAACGATTATCATTGATTAACATTTTCCGTATGACAGACACATTACCTCGGATTGCAGCTGACAATGGCCTTCCTGTGTGTTCTTCATCTTGAACAGAGTTGTGACGTTTGTTAAATTCTGTAAACCATCTGAATACAGTAGCATGAAATGGACCTTCATTTCAAAATGCCAATTATAGATTTGAATGCATTCCTCCCGATTTAATCTTATTTTCAAATCATAGTGCAATAATGTTCTTGCGTCAACTCTAGTTTACCTTCTGCTGAAAATTTATTCTATGCTAACTTACTTGCAGTAGGCCAATAAAAAAATCACTTGCTAAGCTAAAGTAGTTCACATTTTCAAATCCAACCGTTAATTTTTTTCTGCCACTTATCGTCTACGCGTATCCAAAAAATTTCAGTGTGACCATACATATGTAATCATATTAATCACATATAAAATAGAAAATTCTCATTCATTTACTTAAAAGTTGTTTCTTTAGCTTCAAACTTTTTTTTTTTTTTTTTTTTTTTGGAAACTATACAAATTTTGACTTGCACTCTCAAATGTTCATGAAATCTGCTATATGGCTCATACTGTCTTGAATTTTGTCCATCCCTGGTATAAAACATAACCATTTCAGTTTGGGATGCACTGCTAAAGCTATTTTTTCATAGTTTTTATATAAACAAATATTAAAAATCCTAAGAAAAACTGATTCTTCTTCAAAATTTTATAATCATTTGATGACTGAGATTCTCTTCAGCAAGGCCTTAATTCCAGTTTTTTACTGATTTTAAATACCAAAGAAACACTTCCAAAGTTGTAATAAATATCCTTATCAAAAAACTAAAATTATAAATGAAAAAATTTTGAAAATCTGAATGAATTTTAACTTATGCTTCTAAATCTAAATGTTGAATTAGTTATTTTAGGTAATATGTTACTTTTTTATTACTTCCTTTCTGCAGCTTCTTTGTCATGTTTAGATATGCCAACTTCTGAAGAGGTCTATCAGTAATACTTAATTGAATTACAACTGTTATATTCAAGCATTCGCCAATTTGAAAGGAAGGGATTCTATAGCATACAGTGGATATTAGACCATACAATAAAAGGTACATTACATTTTTGCAACAGAAACAAAGGATTTAAAATAAAAATTAAATACATTTTCCCACATTTCTACCTGACCTAAGTTAGATTTATTGCATGTTTTGCAGCGTGGTTGAACACGTTCTAGTAACAACAAATAGTGCATGAGTACAGTTAAGCCCTGCTACAACGAAACTCCAGCTATAACAAACAAATCTTTTGGTCCCATCAAATTTCCTATACACTTAATGTTGTTTTATACTGCTACAGCAAACTTTCAAAATAATTAGAATTTAATGAAGCAAACTATGGTATCTTTGACGAAAACTTCTTGGTATTTTTTTTAATTTTCCTCAAAATTTCTGCAATTTTTAATAAAAAATTACCAATCCTTAAATTGTTCACATTTAGAATGTTAGGACCACATTCCTTCTGCAATTGAAAATGCATCAGTCAGTGCATTGCTGAAAAGTATTAAAAAAAGTAGTCAACATTACTTGGCAAGCTCTCCAAATTTGAACAGCTTAATTGGTTCCCAACAGTTTTGAAATGCTGTGACATGCTACATAAATTCAAAGAGCAGCAAAAACTTCTTCAAAACTGCAAATTTAGTTTCCAGTTGAAAAACATCAACAGAAAAGTTTTGAAACAATAAAATCACATACCAAACATATGAAAATTAAACTTTTTCAAAATCTGTAACAGCTTCTCTGTAACCTTTATCAGAATGTAGAGTAGTTCGAATTAAATAGGAAGCAAAGTGTTGTAATTTAAAATTTGTGTAGTTGCAAAGTTGTGACTTGAAATTTCAAGTGGTAACATTACTGGGAGAGCATTCAAATCACGCTGTCTTAGACCTCTTAATGGCTTACCTATTTGCCATTAACTTTGAGACCGCAATTTATATAGCAAACACCCATGAATTTTCTTATCTTGAAACAGATTACTGCACACTTAAACATACAGTTTTCCAGAAAAAGAAAAACAGAATACAATTTGGTGACCAATAAAATGGGTATGAAAAACTATTGCCCCTCCCCACAAACAGGACTACTTTTTATATAACCATATCTTCTTGGGAATGGGCTATAATTCTGCAATATCATACACTCATGGGAAAATACACTGTTGTTTGTTCCACAATATTATTTTTAAAAAAATTTCTTAAATTACATTGCATTTTTTTATACCCCACTCATAAAAATAAGTAACTTTAAAGAAAAAAGCAAAAGAACACTGAAAATAGTAACAATTCCTTTCAAGTTTTCCTCCCCCCTCCCATTTTTTAAAGGAACAAAATTATATGACACATTTGTAAAAAATAACCATCGTATATTCCCATGTATAAGGCAAGTATTTTTATAACTTTTTCCAAAGATAAATTATGGGACTTACATGTGGAACTGTTAATCTTATAAAAAAATGTAGGTTCTTTGTTAGCTGGATGCAAGCGATAAACCGCCAAATATAGCATCTTTTTATTTCTTTACTTAAGTTTATGAAAAGATTAATTTTAAATGAAATCAGTTGTTTCATTTTCAAATTGCTGTTTTGTTGTGTCATCTCCAAAATGAAAATAACACAAGCACAAATATGACAGATCGTATAATGTCAATAATTGAATAGGAAAAAAAAGTCCTAACTTATATAGGGTTACCAGAGTTAAAACTATCGGTGCTGTCATTTTATTTTATAATGATTTCATTGTAAAATATTCTACCCATTTTACGTGCTTGATAACATGTTCAAGCTTTATAAGAACTTTTTCCTTTTATTCTGCCATTTCAGCATATATACAGGTTTTGAATTTTGGGGAAATTTTTGAAGAAAAATGCACTCTTGGTTTATATTCGGTTTGGTTTGGTTTATGTGATTACGGCAAAGCCTCAAGGGCTACCTGCCTAAGGGAAAGGATGCCTTCATGGAGGATTTTCTAAGGGAAACTCACTTGTATAGACGTTACACATGGGGAAAATCACAAACACGCCTATGCAGCCAGCCCATTTGTGGGATTCGAACCTCGAACTGGTCTACCAGTGCTCAGCGACTTTACTGTTATGCCGCTGGTTTGCCCAGCTTCAATTTGGAAATAGACGATAAATTAAATAATACTTTAAAAAAAATTGCACCTACACACATACAAAAGATATAATATAAGTACCTGAAAATTGGTTAAATCTAATTTGTCAACAACTCGGCAAATCTGAATTTCACGGAGTACTGTGTCACAATGAGCTATTCCAAGAATCTGAAATATAAAAATAAATATATATAAATAAGGCAGTTAAACTCAGCCCAATAACTGGAAAGAAAAAAAATTCTTTCAATTAAAAGATGGTTTACATTTCAAAAAATCTGATGTGTACACCACATGACTTCCTTGTATTGGAATATTAAATTATAGGCATTTTTTCTCACATTTCATTCAAACTTATTGGATTGAATTAAATCTACTTCGCCGACGGCGCATAAACCACAATAGAATAAATGCATTCTTTAAAATTCACTCTAGTACTTGTTTACGATAGCGACACTCTGGCGCTAGATTCACTTAACAGTATTAATAATTATATAACAGTTAACTTATATAATAATTTTATAACGGAAACTAAGTTAACTGTTATATAATCCAATAATTATATAACAGTTAACTTATATATTTCGTTCATATTATAATTCATAATGCACAAAATTTATATCATTTAAAGAATAGAATTATCTAATCGTTGCCACATGTTCTATTCAAATACTATAATAAAGCTAGAATGATGTATAAAAGAAATTAAGCAAAGAAAACAAAAAAGAAACAGTTTTTCACAGACGGTTGAATATGTCTCATTTAATTAATTCAGTTCTCACTTCGCAAGAAAGCAAAAATATATAAGAACTCAAAATATCTATATTAAAAATTACAAAGTAAATCTTAAACGCTTATTTCCTCAACAAAATTCCAGAACGGATTAAGCATGATTTAAATGATAAATGAAGGTGTTATCTTTGTTGTTGCGAAGCTAAGTTTCTCTAGATTGGCAACAAATCCACTAGTTTCCTGCTTCAAATGTAAACATCAATGGCCGCCATTAAAAAAGGCTTAGCGGCAATTAAACAACTTTAAAATTGCTGATAATTCTAAAAATATTGCACACAGATTTACTAAAGGCATAAAATCCTTAACCGGAAGATAAAAACAACATAATTCAATCATTTTTAAAGCAAAAAATGTACAATTTACCAACATATAAGAAAAAAGAAACTGAGATCACTGAGCCGGGTAACAGAGTGGATATATATATAAATATATTTATATACGTTTGGTGCGACCGATTGCAACCAAAATACGAGGTGCACATCTACATGTTATAGCAGTCCTATATACAAAATTTCAACGTTCTGAGGCTACTTGTTTTTGAGTTAGCGAGATACGTACATACGCACGAACATACGTACATACGTTCGTACAGACGCCACGAAAAATTCTCGTCAGAATTCATTTTAAAGCAGTTTTATAATTTTTTTGAAGGAAAAGAGTATTTTATTCTGTCCTTACGTACAGATATCACGCAAAGACATCGTAAATTGCATTCAATAGCGGTCAAAATGGATATTTTCGTTGAATTATGCTGCCTGAAACTTTTCGCGATTACAATACTTCCTTTTTACTTCGTACAAGGAAGTAAAAAGGTGAACATCTAACAACCTCCCAGTCTTTCCTAAATAAAAAGGCAAAATTCCAAGACAGTTGCTTATTTAACAAACATTAATATATCCCCTTTTCAATAAGGAAAGGAAAAAAAAGAAACGACTACTGTATGCTATGTTTTCTCTATAAATTCTTAGAAGCGCTTTTCATCTCCATTTGACAATTTTCAGACACTCAAAAGCAGAATAGTAGAACAAAACATGCATAAAAAATTTCTTCCTGTTATTTCGGCATCAGTATATTTATTGTGAAATTAACTCCTAAAAACAAACATAAAAATCACTTAATATGGCATCTTAAATTATCATGCAAATAATTCTTTTATCTTAAAATTATTCACAATACAAGGAACAATTTTAAAATAAATTTTACTTTATAATCCAAATGAATACTATTAAAAACCAATTTTACACAATATTACTATATTTTTACTATAAAAATGAAATATAAAATGAATGGTACGATATCTTTCTTACAGATGTAGATATCAACAGATATTAGAATATTTCAAGTCAACAGAAGACCTGAAATTTTACTTTTTTCGGATGCAATAAAGTTTCATGAAGGTGAAACAGTAGAATTTAATATGTTATTAGAAATAAGAAAGACCAATTAAATCAGTTAAGATAGATGAAGAAAAAGGTTAGTCATCAGCAAATGCATGCATTTGTGAAGAAAGAACAAAAAATTCCAAGTTAAGACTTTCAGAATTGATTCAGAGATAAAATGTTAATATGAAAAAATGCATACTATATAAGAAACTAAAATGTACTTTGGCTACATGGATGAAACATATGAATTATTAGATAGAAGCTACATATAAGTAAGCAGAAAGGAAAGAAGCATCTAAAATTTGTTTAGATACATAAAGAAAGTTTTGATATCTTTAAATGTGGTAAGAAGCTATGAAAGCAAATTTAATGCATTTGATTTTTATGGAAGATAAATGACTTGGAAAAACAGAAAAATAAAATTAGATGGCTAGAATTTACTTCCAGTTGTGAAGAAATTGCCACACAGCCAAATGTTATTTTTATTTACTTCTGGCTACTATTATAGCACTTCTATATCACTTAGTGATAAATAAATCACTTTAATTTAACTAAATTGTTCTTAACTCTCTTTCATAAAGTGGATGACATACTACTTTCCAAAGAATACTATCCATTGTGGCATTATTGAAAAGGCCTGGCAGATGGACTGGCCAAGGCTAACTTAAAAGGGGGACTTATTTTAATTAGATTCTCTTGTCAAACAAAAAAGGGGGACTTATTTTAATTAGATTCTCTTGTCAATTTTTCTACTGTTAAAAGACTCATTAAATTCAGCATCAATGTATATCAACAAAAACTCTTTGCAGAAGTAGTGGGGAAGATATTGAGGGATTTTTTATGGAGATCTTAGGCCCTTCATTATATACCTAGAGCTCTGAATGTGATAAAATTTTATTAGAAAACTGGTGACGATTTTTTGGGAGAAAAAAAAAATCTCCAACATATGGGTTAACTGGTGACTCATAAATGTGTACATTACATAACTATCTCTTCAGTTGTCCTGATCCTAATGATGCTGCAGATAATAATATGAATAAAATGTTAACTTTTTGTTTCTTTCAAGACTTTACAAGGCTGCACTACAGGAATTAATGGCTGAAAAGAGTTACAGTCCTATGTGGAACTTTATAATAATGGTGAGGAAGAGAAAGTTCCATTACCAAAAAGACACAGCATCCCCTACCACAAAAAAGGGGGGGAAATGCCCAAAAGTTTTTAAATCGGCTTAATGTTTAGTTACAACCTTTTTAAATGTAAACTCTGCATTATGTGCCATTACTGTGCAAAATAAAATACATAAAACTAAATATGCTTTTCTACATATATATACAAAATTCTCTGTTTATTTGGTAGCAGCCCATGGTTTAAACCACTTAAATGAGTTTACAGCTATTTATAAAGAATTAATGAGAATTTAGTTGTTCTGAAAGAAGTAAAATATAAATGTCAAGGAAAATGTAGTGAGTTATTTTTGAGAAATTAAAAAATGTTACTTTCTTAACAAGTATGAAAATTTCAAATACTATTATTCAAGTCATCTGATTTGTATAATAGAGTAACAAGAAATGAAAATTTAAGTGATAAAAAAGATAAACCTAAAAAATTAGAATCAATAAAGAAAGACATAATTTCATCAATAGATAAAGTTCCAACAATGCTTTTAATAAATTGCATTGATTCAAAAGATATGCTTGATAAACTGTGTTTCACATATGAAAGAGATTCTGATCAACAAAAATTAATCTTGTTACAAAATTTTTTTTCATATCAAACATAAAGAAGGAACTGACTGTAAGAAACAAACTGACTTATATTCCAGTAAAAATAAAGCATTTGCTAATTACCATATCTCAATTTAACTAACAGTGTTCAGTGATTTCACATATTTTAGTTGGCATAAAATAAAAAGAACAGAATAAAGTTTCCACAACAAAAAAGGGGGAATTCAAACACTACTTCCTTTTTTTTCATACATAGTCAGAGAATTGATGTATTTAAAAAAATAAACACAGAAAAGAAAAATATCTGAAAGGCTTCAGATTTTAATGGCTATCCAAAAGGAGCTCTTTTAATATTTAATATGATTTATTAATGGAGATGGTGCAGGTAGAATATCCAAACATTTTAGAGGACACTAAATGAATATATATTTAGACTAACATGAGAACGTTATACATCTGCACATTTTAAAAGTGAAAAATATAGAATACCAGAAAAGTATTTAATATTTTTAATTAGATACATTATGAATTAAATGCATTTTTTATTTAAATCAGATAATAAAAAAAATAGTCTTAAAAACTGAATCTTTTGCTTTTAAATAGTTTAGTTTGTTAATCAATAAAAAACAGATTAAATTTGAAAGATAAATATCTTGTATTTTTCTTAATGCAACAAACTCGAATGAAAAGTGAAACAACACATTTACAGTGGAAGGCATTTAAAGTGAATGAATACAAAATCAGGGTTCAAGACTAATAGCCCTTTTGGGCTAAGAGTACAAAAATGTTATCAGAAACTAACAGAAATTCTTTAGAGGAAATAAATTACAAATTACCACTTCAGGTCCCTCTAAAATCATTTTTATGGCCATTAATCCTCTTGATTCATGTACATATGTTTCACAATCTCCAAAAAGCAGGTCTTCAATAGTAGTCAGATTACCTGGTGATGCCTTGAAAGGAAGAAAGATTTCACTTTTAAAGATATATACCCCCTCCTTTTATTTTATTTTTTTAAATCACACTCATAAGCTACATTTAAGGATAAGAAACAATTTGTAAAATATATGAAGTTCATGAATAGGGAAATTTATCGTTGGCTTGTTTTTTAAACTATAAACTATATCCTTGTAAATAATAAAAATCTGAAATGTATGCAACTATCTACTGCATAGCAAATTTCTTCACCATATGAAATTTCCTCAATTCTATACTCATTTCACCATTTTAACAGGGTAACATGGCAGAAAATTTATTAGAAACCTTTGTCATACATACAAATAAATGAATTTTTAGCAAAAGTGCAATGCATTAGTAACACATTCTGGTTGAAAAAGGAGTTTAATTTATTAATGAATTTGTCTAGCTTTTATTATTGTAGTTATTCTTACATCCAGATCAGATCATAAATCTCAGCAAATGGTTTGTTTTAGGAGAAACTTTACTTTTGAATACATATTTCAGTGACCTTTTAAAATCAATTTTGAATTTATGTGGTAAATGCATGAAACTTAATTTTCCCATTTAATTTTTTTTTTTTTTTAGATTCTGAATTAAAACTTTAAACACACTTCAACAAGGCATTTTACTAGTAAAAATTGGTTTGTTTACAATCTAAAAAGTAAATTTTGTTTACAATTAGAACAAAAACAAATAGGAATAGAGTTTTAAGAAAAACCACCTCTCAATTTTCCCTGCATTTAAACGGACAAATGCCACCCTCCCAATAAAAAGCTGGAAAAAATAGTTTTTGTTTTCTTTTTTTTTAATAGATCTAAAATTAGAAACTATAGCACTTTCTATAGTTGAAAACAGCATATGTTTCACCTGCACATGCATCTCAATACTAGCCATACATGCATACACCTTGAGCTTTTGGATATGTTTGTTATGTGAAAATAAGTGAGAGTTTTGAGAAAACTCATGGCTGCAAGTGATCATGAGAATAAAGAGCTAAAGCTTAATTATAGTCCAAGAGTCCACTGTGTAAAATTTCTGGTCCGTTGTGACCGCAAATCTATGGATTAACATAGTCATCCACAAGTAACGAGTAAGTCGGATGTTTCAATTTTTATTACACAGTTTTTATAAAAAATTTAAATTATTTATGTACTGTGTTAGACTACCTTGAGAACAATTACTTTCTATTATTATCTTGTGGTATTTTATTAAAAATATAATGTTGATAAAAAGTGCACTCAAAGAAGATTTAAAGCTACTAGCTTTGGAACTAAATATAGAACTAAGTGAAGAATTAAACAAATTAATGAACTAAATATAGAATTAAGCAATTGCTACAGATTTAAATCTAACGATTAAACACAGTGAATCTTTTAAATTCGATCTAGATCTAGTAGGGTAATTCTATAGTAGAGCACCGTAACTCTGAAGAAGTGGAAATTGCTCAATTATGAGCTCAAATCAAAACTGATAATAACGGTCAAGACAAAGCAAAAGGAGAAAATTCCGATTCCTTAGATTCCCTTCTTATAAGATTTCTAAGAAGAAGGTTCCAAGTAAACCTGCACAGTGGAGTTATTTTTCTCTTCTTTAAAAAAAGCTTTCACAACAAAAAATGTGCCTGAAGAATCTAAAGCAGAAATATTGTTAAACATGTTAAGGAAAAATTGCTTCAAACATTATCATATATATAACATATGAGGATATAAGTGATGATGAAAAAGTAAAAAATATTGTTCTAAAAGAATTCGAATTTATGGCACAAACTGCTTTAGAGAATTATAAAAGGCTGAAAGTTGGTTTCTCCCTCAGCAAATAGCAAAGGAAGCAAATTTATTTCCCCCATCCTGCAGAAAGTATCTTAACGAAAGTGTGAACAGCTTTCCAAAATTTCGCAATTATAAAACATCAAAAAATATTTTAAAGGCATTCTCTGCCAATGTAAAAGGCTTAAAGTGTGTTCCTTGTGAAAAAAATCACGTCTTGGCAAAATACCCATATTACTTGAAAGTACCAGTGAATGATTGAGTTGAAATAGTCAAACATAATAAATTGTGTTTTAATTTTTTAAATAACTTGCATTCTCTGTCCAACTGCAGTTCAAAAATTTCAAGTTTTTGTAAAAAATGACATTCCAACACTTTGGATTTAGCGAAGCAGGCCTTGTCTTTCAATGGCACCAATAACTGTGTTTTTCAGATCAAAAGAAAAAATTCAAATACCAGTAGAGGTGAAAGGGTGACAGTCGAATCAAAATATAAACACAGACTTGAAGGTTGCAGCTACAGAATTCATATCTAAGAGCTTAACTTTCATGAGACATCATTGACAAAGAAAAAGTACAACTTTATTGAGTGTGGCAGTTTGTTATTTGTCAACTCAAACAGGAAATTTAATTATATTATGATCTGTGCTTGACAGAAGTTCTAAATCAATTTTTTTATTGTGGAGGTGTTTGGATTTATTCACAATTAACTTTCTGAAGCCGGCGGTACAGCAGTTGTACCAGGAAAATGATTTTCTTTAACGCCGGCTGTGGTACAACTGTCCTATCAGCTATCCATTTCTAATTTTAGAGAATCATCTATCTGTAGATCTCTGTGTGGTCCATTGTCACTGCTCAGAATAGCCGCCGGCTACGCATTATTTCCCATTTCTTATCAGTTTGGCTACATTTTGGCAAAAACCGCAGGTTTCGTCTCGTGCCTATATACTTGAAAATCAAATAGAGGCCATCTCTTTCTCAATCTGTCTCATAATGTCTATTAATTTTTTAGTACTGACTTTTGCTATGATTAAAACGTCAGCGATTTTGCACGCTCTTTAAGCTTACCATATTTAATGTTTTTTAATCATAACAAATAAGAATAGATTAATATTTTAGATTTAATGCCCTTCTAGAAAATAGGTAAAACCGCTTTTTATCGTTTACTTCCTTTTCATACTTATGAATAATAAGATTTTATTTTGACATTTTTTTGTGGAGTGCATAAAACCCTTAAGAACTGTCAACTCTTTCAAAGTGCTTCTATTATGCAGGCAATTTTGTCTGATTTATCAGGAGATAAATAAGAGACAATTGTATGCATAATAGTTTTTTGTGATTTTCATTCATTCAGTGATTGCTTTCAATGATTTTCATTGATTGTAAATTAAATAAAATCAATTTATCTTTACACCCTCTTTTAGGATGAGATCTGCCAAAAAATATTTAAATATCAGTAAAGCTCACGTTACTTCTAAACTGAATCAAAACATCAGTTAACATTGTATAAAATTTTGGCCAGTTTTATTTGCTGAAATTCTTATACTCTTCAAGAGATAGAGAGAATTCAGACAAGTTGATAAAAAAAATATCTTAAAAAAGTTGTTATTTTGTCTGTAATAAGGTGTATGTCAACTTACTACTAAATGTATGAAAATTAGGATTGGATTACGGAAAAGCACGCGAACGCTATCTGCTTAAGGGAATGGATGCTTTCGTGTAAACCTTTTTAAGAGAAAATTGCTCGCATTTACATTCCTGGTGGAAAACTCCACATGTAATCAACCCGTTCTTCGGTATTGATTGGATTAATTTTGTTCGCTTACTGAATTACATACATCAAAGCACCCAACGATTACCTGTATAAGGGGAGTTATGTCTTCGCGGAGGACTTTCTAAGAGAAGCTGGCTTGCATTTACGTTACACAAAAACCATGAATCCAACTATTTATCCGGGATTCAAATCCAAGCGAGCTATAAGTGTTCAGCCACCTTTACCGCTTTACTGAAGAGCAGGTAAAAATATTGATAAAGGAAAAGTATTGAAAATTAACCGGTTTAATTTACTAACCTATATTTCTCAATCGACAGTACATAAATTACGCATATGAGGGGGATTATTTGTGAATAAATAAACTGTATTGCACTTTTTTTATCCACTATGTCATATTACAATGGAATTATTGCATTTCAAAGTTATTTCTCATGAATTAATTTTGCTCTTCATGATTTTTGATATTTTCAAAGAGAAAATTCCACACTTTAAATAAAAATACACGAGAAGATACTTTATGCAAAATTTGGCGTAAACGGTTTTCTTAATTTTGCTTTGAAAATATTGCAGGGTAATCGTTTTCATTACTGGAAGAAATATAAAAAACAAATTTACTACATGGTATCAACACCCAATATTTCCTTATTCTTTTGAAAACGTGAAAGATTACTCTTTCTAAAATAAATTGGAAAATATATTATGTGCAAATAGAATATTCGTTGAAAATGAAATAGACTTCAACTTTTGGATATAACGATAGTTTTAGACGAAATTTCTACCTATGGAAAGAAATTGACGTATAATTAATTCTTCATGAACATTTAAAACTGTTCTCAAAATTCTTTTGATGATTGCATGTATAAGTCACGAATTTTTTTTCTCGGCTAACATAAACAAAAGCCAATTTTACAAAGAAAAATTCTCGTTAAAGATATACCTTCTTTGCCTGATAGTCCAATGTAATATTTGTTAAAATTAATTATTAAACGCAACCAATGTATCTCGGATTTTGATTTTTATATTATAATAACAAAATTATCGAAAAAAAGCAGATTTAAATCTCTGTTATTGTTATGTAAAGCTTTATTATTGCTGTAAGTTCATCTCAAAATCTAATTGTATTGAATCTCATTCTAATCATCTAATGGTAATAAATATTATTATTATTATTTCATTAAATTAGTCATTACCATTATTTTTAATATTTTATTAAAAATCGCATTCCGGCCTGCAGACTTACAGATCTAGTCTTTATATTTTGTAAATTTTGTTCTCCTTATTTCTAATACAAAATTCTAATCGTCAAAGCGTAATTCGCACCCTATCGAATGATCTTAATCCGCCTCAAGCTAAAACTTCTGCAATGCTCGCTTATCTCGCGTAACCTCTACGGCTGCGCATAGGTTGTCATGTGCATAATACTTTAGATGCCATTATTATAAGGACATGTATAA